CTTTCCTCCAGCTTCCAGCCTCTCCCCCCATATCCCAGCAACCAAATCCCAACAAATCCCCGCGAAAAGGGATGGGAGGAGCAGGATAGAACTGGATCCAAACCCAGAGCAGCTTCTCCCTCAGATCCCAGGGACTAAACCAGGAGATTCCACACATGTTTCTGGCATTTCCTTCCCACAGGAGCCACTTTCCAGCCATTGTATCCCGGCTGGAGGCACCAAACTTCCTCCCCCCTCAGGGAAAACACCCTTTCCCCCCCATTTTCCACAACACCTGGAAAAAGATAAAGGAGCAGGGAAGACCCCCCCCTGGAATTCAGGGAATTCAGGGCTCATCCAAGCACCCTTTCCCAAATGTTTTGCTTTGCAGCCGCAGGAAGAAGGGAGAAGGGGCTGATTGGAGCCGCCCCCCCCCCAACTTCCTCGGGATGGGGGAGGATCCCTTGGGAATTTTGCTGCCTTTTCTTCCCTTCCTTTTAAGGCAAAAGGGACTTTGGAACTAGGCCGGGACCCTCCCGTTGTCCCCGTGTTTACACGGGGACATTTCTGGGCCGGAGCCGAGCGGGGTTTTTCCATGAGGTCACGGTCAGGAATCTATCCTGAAAACAACCCAAAACAACCCGGAAATCAAGTGTCTGGTTCGAAAAATCCAGGGCAAAAAAAACAATAGGATTTTAGGTGGGATTTTAAAATAGCAACTTCTGCCCCCCCTGAGCTGCTTCCCACACAGGAGGGATCTCGGGGGGGGATGAGGTGGGAACGTCGGGGCAGGATGAGGCCCCCCAGGAGCTTTTGGGCTCATTTCCAAGGATTTAAGGAATTCAACATTCCACAGGTTGGGAGCAGGGCTGGATGTGGGAAGGGGGGAGTCCCCAAGAAGGGAGGAGACCCCAGAAAGGGGGGAGACCCCAGAAAGGGGGTGACAAGAGGGTCTGGCAGAGCCCACGGTGCCACCTCCCCTGCCAAGTCCTTCCCACATTCCCACTTTGCTCCCAGACTAAACAAAACTCTGGAAAAGAACCAGACGCTTCCCAGGGATCCCAACAATTAGCGGCTGGTTAATGAGGGTGGGAACGACCCGGCCTAGAAGCTCCAGTGACAAAAAATGAGGAGAAATCCGGATTATTTCTTTCCCCCCCCCCACCTCTGGATACAGGGGGGAGCAAACGTCTCCATCCCAGTGTCCCCAGATCCCGGGACAAGGGGCAGTTCTGCTCCATGTCCTGGGTTGTTCTGTCCCTCAGCACTTCCCTCCTCCCGGGGTTGGATTTTTTGGGTGTTTTTTGGCCTAATTCCTGCCCGGGGGAGGCTGGACACAGAGATTCTCCTCATTCCTTTCCCTTATTAGGCTCCCAGCTCCAACTTTCTGGGAAAAAAACAGCTGGAATCAGCAACAAGAGGGGGCACAACCCCCACCCTGTGCCCCAGCCCTGCATTTTGGGGGTGCTGGGGGGGGGTCCCCCCTCCACCCATCCTGGGGTGTTCCAGGGAGCTGAGGTGGGGCTGGACGCTCCCACATTCCAGGCGTTGGCTCCAGGACTTTGGCACCTCCAAGGATTTGGCACCTCCAAGAGTTTTGTTGCTTTTTTTTTTTTTTTTTCTCCCAGTGGTGCCAAACAACCTCATGGGAAATGAGAGGGAATTTCTCCCTCCTCCAGGTCCTCCAGGCTGAGCTGGGTCCAAGTTTCCTCCCTAAATCCCAGCACTGGGGTTGGGGAGGCTCCAGCACCTGCTCCAAACATGCCAAAAATCCAAGGAAAAGTGAGAGTTGTCCTGAGCCAAAGGGACAGATGGAAAATTAATGTTCATTTACACCCCCCTGATTGGCACCATCTGTGCTGGTTCCATCTGAGGGGCAGAAACTCCCATTTCTCTGTTCCCACTGGCTGGAATCCCCACCTGGATCCAGCTGGGAAGGAAAAGTTGGGCTTCTTGATGAAAAAAAAAGTCAGGAAGGGGCTGGAGGAGAGGGAGGGGGAACGTGAGAGTCCCAGGAATCACACTGGGATTGTGTCCTGGGGGAAACTGGGTCCCTGTGGGAATCTGGGTCCCAGCGGGAAAACTGTGTCTCTGGGGGAGAACTGGATCTTCCCTGTCCCTGGGAAGTCACCTCCAAGGGCAGGAAAGCACTAGACACAGGGCCTGAGGATGCCAAGAGTCCCTCTCCAGAGGGGGGATCCAATGGGAATCCTGCTCCAGGAGCCTGAAATCCACTGGGAACTCGAGGCAGGGAACTGGGAGCTCTGGTGATGTTTCCCAAGGGCTCCCAGGGCTGGATGTTTTCCCAAGGATCCCGCTGGGCAGCGGAGCAGCCTGGCCCTGTTTGGGGGGTGCACTGAGCTCCCCCCTCGTTAACATTCCAGGGTCATTAAGCAGCCCAGGGCTGATGAGCTGGGATAATTAACAGCTCCAGCACAGCAGGATGTACTGGGGGGTCATTCCATGGGATGAACATCTCAGGATCTGGGATGATTCCTGCTCCATGGGCTCATTTCCACCCTTGAGGACCATGTGTCTTCCCAAAGGTCCTTTTTCAGGATCAGGAGCAAAATGTTTGGTTCCCGTTTTTCCCGGCGTGTTTCCAGAGACCGGGAAGGCTGGAGGGACCCTGGGAAGGCTGGAGGGACCCTGGGAAGGCTGGAGGGACCCTGGGAAGGCTGGAGGGACCCTGGGAAGGCTGGAGGGACCCTGGGAAGGCTGGAGGGACCCTGGGAAGGCTGGAGGGACCCTGGGAAGGCTGGAGGGACCCTGGGAAGGCTGGAGGGACCCTGGGAAGGCTGGAGGGACCCTGGGAAGGCTGGAGGGACCCTGGGAAGGCTGGAGGGACCCTGGGAAGGCTGGAGGGACCCTGGGAAGGCTGGAGGGACCCTGGGAAGGCTGGAGGGACCCTGGGAAGGCTGGAGGGACCCTGGGAAGGCTGGAGGGACCCTGGGAAGGCTGGAGGGACCCTGGGAAGGCTGGAGGGACCCTGGGAAGGCTGGAGGGACCCTGGGAAGGCTGGAGGGACCCTGGGAAGGCTGGAGGGACCCTGGGAAGGCTGGAGGGACCCTGGGAAGGCTGGAGGGACCCTGGGAAGGCTGGAGGGACCCTGGGAAGGCTGGAGGGACCCTGGGAAGGCTGGAGGGACCCTGGGAAGGCTGGAGGGACCCTGGGAAGGCTGGAGGGACCCTGGGAAGGCTGGAGGGACCCTGGGAAGGCTGGAGGGACCCTGGGAAGGCTGGAGGGACCCTGGGAAGGCTGGAGGGACCCTGGGAAGGCTGGAGGGACCCTGGGAAGGCTGGAGGGACCCTGGGAAGGCTGGAGGGACCCTGGGAAGGCTGGAGGGACCCTGGGAAGGCTGGAGGGACCCTGGGAAGGCTGGAGGGACCCTGGGAAGGCTGGAGGGACCCTGGGAAGGCTGGAGGGACCCTGGGAAGGCTGGAGGGACCCTGGGAAGGCTGGAGGGACCCTGGGAAGGCTGGAGGGACCCTGGGAAGGCTGGAGGGACCCTGGGAAGGCTGGAGGGACCCTGGGAAGGCTGGAGGGACCCTGGGAAGGCTGGAGGGACCCTGGGAAGGCTGGAGGGACCCTGGGAAGGCTGGAGGGACCCTGGGAAGGCTGGAGGGACCCTGGGAAGGCTGGAGGGACCCTGGGAAGGCTGGAGGGACCCTGGGAAGGCTGGAGGGACCCTGGGAAGGCTGGAGGGAGCCCGGGAAGGCTGGAGGGACCCTGGGAAGGATGGACAGAGGCTCATATCCTGCAGCTCCAGCACATGGTTGAGATTCCAGAGGCAGATCCCCAGGGACTGGATGCATCCCAGCATCCCTCAGGATGGCTCTGCTGGCTCCTGGTAGGAACAGCCCTTTCCTTCCCAGGATGAGGCCTCAATTGTTTCCCGGGATCTGAGGCCTGGAGTTCACTGCCTCCCGCCTTCCCCGGAGCCACCCCTGGCCTGGTGGGATGTTGGGAACATCAGCAGCTTCCTACAGGATCCAAAATCCACTAAACTGCTCCAAAAAAAAGTGCAGGAACTGGAGTTGGACCTTCCGGAGCCGCTTCCGACACCGACTGCTCCTCTGAGCCCCATCCAGCCCCTGGGGCTGCAGGGTGAGCAGGGAGGCTGGATCCACAAAAGCCCTGGAGTTGCTGGTGGATTTCTGCTCTGGGAAAGGCATCCATGTCCAGCCCCTCACCCGAGGAGGAAGAGCAGCCACAGGAGCAAATTCCCAGTTGGCTGTGGATGGATGGAGCTGGGAAACACTTCCCGTGGGTTGGGGGCTGGATGGGATGGGGTTTGTAGCCCAGTGAATCAGCTCTGGAACCAGAGGCCTTGGAGGCAGCTGGAATCCCAACA